GATCTTGGGCACTCACGCACACGCACCTGGCGTGAGTTTAAGCCACCGGGTCCGGGACTCAAACCACGGTCGGCTCCATGGGAGTCCAGCAACATAGTCATTACGCCAACTGCTATTCCCCGGGAGTCATATATGAATACAGTCCCTGACTCATTCGCTGAGACCAGAGTGAACCCGGAGCACCCGCTGATCCCTGGAGCCTGGGCATAGGGTCAGTCCTTCCAACCACTGGCCTGTAAGGGGACTTTCCCTGAAGGCTTGGCCAGGCTTGGAGGCAGAGGGTGGGAGCTGGAGGCCCCCTGGAGGCTTGGCAGGGCCTGGGGGAGGCGCCAAGGCTGGCTGTGCTGTCTGGACTCATAGGACTCCATTCTGGGAGGGGTACTTACACCCAAGTGACCCTGGTGAATGTCGGTACCGGGGCCCCTCCGGGATGGCCCCAGCCTTTGCCCTGGCCCCTCCTGTCGGCCCCTGCACACCCCAGGGCCGGAGCCAGAGGAGCAGCCGCCGGCCCGCCAGCTGCAGAGCAGGCCTGGCAGCAGCTGTGAGGCCCAATTGGAAACACGTGGGTTCCGCTTTCTGGAAGCCCGCGGGGTTTACACAGGAGACAGCGCTGGACGGTGGCCCGGGGCCTGCAGGGACCTGGGGCTGGTTCCCACAGCAGCTTTGCTCCAGACGCAGCTAAGAGCTTGGAAGCCAGAGGAACGGCCGCTCGTGCGTGCTCACGCCAGGAGCGGGGCTGGCGCCTCTGGCCAGGCAGGCCGTCTCCCCTGGGCCCGGCCGTGTGGCTTCTTCAGCCAAGGCCCCCATGGGCTGACGGGGCACCGACCCCCGGAAATGCCCCTTTGTCGGCAAGCTCCCAGCCAGAAGCCCCTCAGGCAGCCCGCTTGGCTTCCCTGGGCCTCAGCTCCTCTCAGTGCAGTGGCCGTGGTGGGAGACCTTGCCTTCCAGGGGGTGGGGAGGAGGCCATGAGGAGTTAGGGCGTTGGAGTTCAGTGCTGTCATCGTCACCACATGGTCACTGCTGTGGACCCTGGCACCCCTGCCGGGAATCATTGGCGTTGACCTCACCGTCCCCTCTTGGGCTGGTTTTGTGCCCAGACTCTAAGTGGAACCAGCCCTCCGCCCTGCCCTTAAGGAGTGCCCTGTCCGATCAAGAATAAAGAGATGGGGCCGCAGGTGGCCTGGTGGTGAAGGCGCTGGACTCCCATGTGATCGGCTGCGATTCGAGTCCCAGTCCCGGTGGCTTGCTCTCCCGCTTTCTATTTCTCTGGTCAAAGTTAAGAGAGGAACAGATCATATTAAGTAAATAATATTTTTTTCTTTAAGAAAAGAAAAAGAGGGGGACCGGCAGTTAGCGTAATGGCTATGTTGCTAGACTCCCACGTAGTCGACCACGGTTTGAGTCCTGGACCCGGTAGTTTAAACTCATGCCGGGCGCATGTGCATGCGTGCCCAAGATCCCGAGAGGAGAATGGAGGAGAAGGGATTGCGGCATGGCCATCCCCCCTGGAGAGTGATTTCTTGCTTTCTGTCTCTCTGTCTCTCTCTGTCTGCCTGGCGAGCGCACGCGCCCTATAGCAAAAACCTCTCCAAAAAAAAGAAAAAAGAAAAAGAAGAATAAAAAGGAAAGACCCCGTGAGGGCCCCCACAGTTTATCCCCTCCAGTGGACGTGGCTCCGTGGGTGCCTCCTGGTCAGCTCCTTCCCCTGACAGACTAGGGCAGGAGGAGGCGGAGCAGGAAGCCCAGCCTGGGGGTCCCTCATGCAGGTGGGAAAGGTGAGGCCCAGAGGGCCAGGGGGAGGCCAGACTCCTTCTCAGTCTCTGGCCTCCTCTGAGCAGGAGCCCTCATGGAGGAGTGTGGCTCTGCCCCTGGACAGGGCGTTTGGGCTCTCCCTCAGTTCCTCGTCTGTAAAACGGGGGTGGTGGTGGGGAGTCAGGGAGAGGCGGAGGCCCAGGCGGCTGGCTGTGAGATCCGATTCCTGGCTTTTACTCCCCCTGGCCACCCAGGCCAGTGGGGTCTCCCTGGCACAGGCCACACAGGGTGGCGGGGGGCTCCCTC